ATCAGAAGCCTCTTCAAGTTCTAACTTTTTGGCAGTCTACAAACCCGTAGCTTACAAAAGGCCATTTCTCTCCCTCTTCAGTAGTAAAAGCGGCTGACTTTAGCCTAGAAGAAATTCTCCTGCCGCTTTCTCCGTGGCCCATCCATGTGTTGTGATACATTTGATTGTTTCTTGACACCTGCAATAAATCCTCTTTGGCCTTTGCAACATTCTAGAGGACTCTTTCCCTCTTAGATCCGCTCTCTATAATTACCTTAGGCTATGGTCAGCGGAGGTAGAAGTTTACTTAGAACTTTATGTGCTTAAGCAAAACACACTCCTTTTTAAAAAACCTCTATGCATAAAGAGTTTTATACAAACACTGTTTCAGGAAGCGTTTTGTAGAAAAGCTGAAAAACAGAGAGCTACAGTTATATTTTATTTTTAGGCTTGTGCATGTGTACCTACCTCTCCCCTCCGACCTAGTCTGAATTCTAATTGCCCTTTGTCTGCCTGTCGCTTACCCCAGGGAGAGTTTTCTTACCACTTTCCATTTTATCATTGGGAAGGTCCCATAGTCCTCATTGAACTCTGCTGCATCCTGTTTATATCATAAAGAGAGAAAGAAAAGCTCCAGACGCCCTCCCTCTCCCCACCTTTCTCCACGTGGACATAATAAAGCCCTTGGCAACCTTGCTCCCTGTAATCAGCCTGAGGTAATTTTATAAGCGACCATGAAAGAGCCATTTGTTGAATGCCCGCTTTGTGACAGGCATTCGCTGATGGTTTAATATGCCTTGTCTCATTTAAATCTTAAAACATGTTTAGGAGGGAGGGGAAATGAAACAGAAAGTGTTCCTTCCACCATTACCAAAGGAAGTTGCTGGCCACTATGTAACTTGAACTTTACCGATAATAACCCCAAATGGAGTCCTATACACGGTTCTGGGGTGCAGAAATTGCCTTAGATACACAAATTTTAGAAAGTGCTTTTACAGGGACAAAGTAAAACGTCTCAAAGCTATGTAGATAGGTATTATAAGTGGAGGTTTAGACTGGTTTCCTGCCAGATTGACACGGAATCATGTGGGAAGGTGAGTTCTTTGATTTACAATGTTACATGCTGTGCATTATGTGCTCCATGCCATTTGAATGGCTTTCATATTTTTCCCTCCACTAGCATTTATAAGCAAGCTAAAGATGCTGCCAATTCTTTCAGCTTCAAGTGAACACTTCTGGGGGTGGGGGTATGGGGCTGAATTTCCTTCCACAGCAGTAAAAGAAATAAATTTTCTAATTCTAAGGCATTGTTCTTATAATATTGCCTGACTGAACAGAGTACATTTTGTCAGATATCTGACATTTTGGAACTTCTGTAATTCTGCAAACTTTTTGGCCTCAGGTCTTAAGGAGAAGCTTTTGAAAAAATTGAATCCAGATGAATTCCTTTTATTTGTGCTTTTGGTGTTTCATCTATGAGGCCAACCTTTGCTTTTTGATTATTCTTTGAGTCTTGAAAGGCTGAAGAAATTGTCGTTACTTAATTAACAAATGACACTGGGTCCCTTTCTAATTGGAGAGCCCCCTAAAACCTATTTGCCAGCAGTGTATACACCTCTAATGTTTAAGAATGAGCAGGCTGAGGGTGGACGAGAGTGGCAAGCTCCGAAACAGCTGGATTCCTGCTTGCTGGGGAAAAACATGGGAGGCTTGTCCAGGGCTCCGCCCATGTGATGTTAGTGATTGTATCTGCGGATTTTCAAAGATATTACAATGTAGTGGTGATGGCATCTGCTGCTCACTGCCATTGTTTCAGGGTATTTGCAAATTATATACAAAAACACATTGTGGCATCTTACACCAAAGCGGCAAACACCTTCTTGTGAATTGGGCACTTTTGGTTTGTGTTCAAGTTTAACCCGACAACTACTTTTTGTTGCTCTTTGCTAAGAGCTCTGTAAGGGTTTTGTCATCCCTCAGTCTTAGTGAAGCTGTTGCTGAACAAATGAAACAATATTAATAAATACCTGGCATTTGTAATAGGGCTGTAAAGTTCATAGAGTACTTTCACACAGATTATCTTTTTGCATATCTCAGCAGCCCTGTCAATTAGGTGTGGCAGGTATTATTAACACTTTTATTAGACAATAAATTGAGAATCAGACAAAATATGTGACTAGCCCAAGAAAAACATATCTTTTTTTTCTGAAAGAGGCAGAGAGTTAAAACACACCCACCCACCCACCCCTCACCATCACCACCACCAATGACAAAAGCACTTTTACAAACGTCTCTGTATGAACTACTTTCCCTCCCATCAACCAAAATAGTCCTGCACTATTAGTTCCCATGCAGAAACAGATTGGTTATTTACTGTAATAGAAAATGAGATGTCACCTGTGGGAGACCATAAAACTCAGGCCCTGCAATTAGAAAGGGCTTTTGAAATCTAAGGCTTTGTACCTCTGACAGAGTAGGTGGAAGTTGTTCATTTGATCACCATCACTTTCCTTCTCCGTCACTTTACCCACCGCACATCTCATAGGTTGTTAAGCCTATTGATTCTGCTGTTGCCTTTGAAATCTATGGCTACTCTGCCATTCCCATACAGTCGAAATTCTGACCCTCACTGTCCTTTAGCATGCTGGCAGCGGGCTTTTGTGCTGGTGGTCTTGCCCATTTGTTCACATCACCTTTCACATGGTGTAAGAGCTTAAAACTCTTCAAGAGTCGGACATTTTCCGTGAGATAAAGCCCCCACTCTTTACCGTAGCACACAGCACACTGCAGACCCTGACTTCAGCAAACCACTCACTCTGTTTTCATTTCTCAGCCTGGCCCATATATTCCCTGCCAGGTTTGGGGGTGTGGGAGGGGGTGTGGGGGGATGGGCGGTCCCTGAGCATATTTACCTTCTGTGCTTTTGTACTGCCTTTGGCTCCGTTTTGAGTGCCTCTCCCCTCTGAGCGTTGGAGCCCTCTTACCAGTGTGCTGAATTAGTCCTGGTTCCTTAAAACTTGGCTTGTGTCTTCTCCTTTGGGGAGATTTCTGGCCTCCCCTGGTGAAGTTGGCCGCATGCATCTTTGTGCCCACAGCACCTCTCCCGAGTTCCATGGTGAAACTGTAACACATGGTAGATGCCTGTCTTACTCACTAGGTCGTGAGCTTTCTGAGGAGAGGGTCTGAGTCTCAGAATGAGCAGCGCCACCTGATCAGTAAGCCAGGACCATGATGCACACACTCTCTTTGCCAGCTACCCAAAGATATCTCCAATCAGGAGTGCTCCTGGGGTGGGTTAGAATTGAGGACAAATATTTTCTTTGTTAAAGGAGTATTTCCTAATGAATTTGAAGTAATGGAGAACAACATAATTTATCTCTTTTCAGGCATGAAGGAAGTCAGAAGTGGAGACTGCAGATTAGAGTTCACTTCTAGTTGAATAAGGATTTTTGTCTTTGCTGCACTAGAACAGTGTAGAGTTTAGTTACTCGCCTAATATAGGACAGTCAAAACATTTGCATTAAATTGGGAGCACTCTTTGGAGGTAGCTGTAAACAACCTGCATATTTGTGCTTGAAAAAATCTGTACATTCTCTTTGTAGTTGCTAATATATATAAAATAATTTCTAGGGCTTATAAGATACGTTGCCAAGGAAAACAGTTTCCAAGTCTATTTATTTGTTTTTTACACACATGTGCCAAGTGGCAATTCTTGTGTCATAATGTAATTTGGAGGGTTTCTCAGCCTGCTTTTAGAAGGTGTCTATTTTCTGCTACTTAAAAAGTATTTACTCATTTACATCAGTAACTTTTAAACTAGAAATTAAAAATTAGTTTTCTACAGGCTTGTGTGTGTATGGGGAGAGAGGTGATCAGTACAATTTGTGTTTATAATCACAAACTATATTTAAAATTTACAGTTGTCGTTCTTTATCATTTATGCCATTACAACTATAAGTAATTGAGATTTGAAAAGATATCAAGTCCATCATTTAATTTTATAATTAATTTAAAGAGAATAATAGAATGAGCATGTGTGATATGGTGAAGAATGTGACTAAAGTGGGTATTTGAGTTGACTGAATTTTAGTTTTGTTATATCTATTGGAAAAATGAGAATGATCCTAAATATTAACACAGCAACCAAAATAAATTTGTCATATTGAATCCATACAATTTTTTTGTGAGAAAAATGAAAATAATATTTGGATTTTCTATAATATAGCATTACTGTTTTATAACAGGATATTGGGAATTGCCATTTGTTTTAGATTGTAATCTATTCCACAAACGTGAAAAACCATTAGCATATGGAAGAATTCTTTAGTCAAGCTCTTATTTTCCCCATTAGAAGGGTAACATATATTTTGCTTTTTGACTTAGAGATATAACTAACAATATTATTCCACTCTGATTTCCTATCTTGACATTGAGTGGTAGAGTTAGGACTATAATCTTGGTTTTGTTTTTCTTTTTTGCTTTTGTTTTGCCTTGTTTTTATCTTACAACACACTGCATCTCAGATTTCCATACCATATTCATCCCAGGTATGTGGAAACCTGGGGAATGTATGACTGAAATGTGATTGCTGTCATTGTGCCTACTTTTTGCATCCCTTTGATGTCAAAGATAGATACCATGAATAAATAATTAATTATGCAAGATCAAGTAAGGCAGTGAAAGTCACTAGTGCCATTCTATTCTCTTTCTGAGACCAGGTACCCCATTATAATTAAGAAGTGACTTCTAATATAATGATTACATTGGTTTGATTTCTTGATACACTAAAGTATCCTTTAAGAAAATTAAATTAATGAGGAAGGGGGTATTTTAGCAGTCTAAAAAGTTATTTAAAAAGGATGTTCTTGAGAGAATTTAAGAGTTGGCTGGAGGATGGGCTAGATGACCTTTAAATATTTTTTGTTCTTGATGATTCCAAAATTCCAGTGCTAGGCTAAAGGAAAATTGAACGAATACTGGTCACCTTAGTTACAACGTTTTTGTTTGCTGTTTTGTCATAGATTGCCTCTTTAAGGTATGCCCTATGAATCGATATTCTGCGCAGAAACAATACTGGAAAGCTAAGCAAGCCAAACAAGGGAACCACACAGAGGCAGCCTTGCTGAAGAAACTACAGGTAAGGGCCATGCTTCAATTTGTCTGGTTTAGGCTGGACCAGGTACAGCCATCACACAAGATCTTTTTTGAAGCTTAGTCATTTTACTCCATACACAGAGATTTAGAATAGTTATAGTAGCACATTGAAACTGGAAGGGACCTTTAAGTTATAGCGTGTGACCACTGATTTCCTGGTATGTAGGTAATATTATACATCCCTCCTGCTATTTTTTAGGGTGTGCCAGACTAATTCAGAGATTCACCTCAAACTGGAAACCAACTCAAAATCTCTATAGGAATATCAAATCTAATTATATTTTCCTTGGCATTGTACTTAATTTTTTTTTTTTTTGAAAGACTATTGAAAAAAAAAAAGTCTGGTGTTTCTGATTTGGGCTGAGTGTAAACTTGATAGGACTTAATTTGTGTCATTACAATTTCTGTTACTTTCAGAGCTGAAACTGTATTTTGAGACTTTTGAAATTTACCTACTATCCTGGTTGGTTTCTCTAGCAAAATTCCCTCTGCAAGTAATTATAAGACCAGAGAGCCTAAGACTTTTCTGAAATTTCCAACATAAAAGCATTCCAAGATACTGTTGGCCACATTTCAGCATTAAATTGAGAGAATTATCACACTGTGATAATCATGTATTTAATTATTGTTCCCCACCCTCAAGCACCAAGAGTAAACCAACCAGCCTATTTTATTCATGGTTGTATTCTTTGTTCATAAACAACAACCATAACAACAAAGGAAACAAAGCCATTATTTCTTTGTCAGTTATTGTACTGTTTACTATGTTTCTACACTGAATATTTGATAATCATTTTACAGCATGCTGCAGAACTGGAACAAAAACAAAATGAGTCAGAAAATAAGAAACTATTGGGAGAAATTGTGAAATACAGTAATGTTATACAAGTAAGTGTCTATTTACTTTCTCTTAAAAGAGGTGAATATTTTATTGAAAAGTTGGTAGGAAAGCCAAATAGCATTAAGATTTTTGGGATACAATAGTTTGTTCTTTGGTGGGAATTACAGATATTGTGATATTTTCAGTTGATATTCACCACACTATTCTATATGTTTGGGAATATGCCTGCTGTATACACATAAAGAAGTGAGCTTATCTAGATGTATGCACGAATTATTACCTCAAAAGGAAGAAGATGGGGAAACATAAATTCTGAAGGCTTGTAAGGAAATATTCCTTTAGTATTAACGGGACTAATGTGCATCATATGAAGCTTTATCTTTTTATTTTGTAGAGAGAAGAACCTTCTCAAATTGTACTTTTAGATGGAAATCGTCCTTGCGTTATTAGAAGAGCTTCTATTTCAATTAGTATGCACACTGATTTATCTCAGCTGCATTCCTTGCTGTGCTTCACTGAGATCTTTAGATTTTTACTTGGTTCTTTGTTAATATATGCCCCACCTTGTCCCAAAAAGAATGAAAGGCATATATAAAAATACTACATAACGAAATAACATAGAAATAAGTAAGGCAGCTGGGTCAAAGGAAAAAATAATGGTTGAATGAATAGGGTAAAATCAGGGGTGAGGCATGTTTATAAAATCCACGTTGCAAAGTCTGGTTAAACTTGGGCTCAAAGCCTTTTTGTTGCCACTTAGCTATAAGGGAAGCATAATATAGTACAACCATTCGCCTAGGAGGCTTATACCATAGAACTAAGTCAGAGGTCTAGAAGCACAAACATTCCCAGGAAGAAGACCAGGAGAGTATTTCTCCAATGAGCTCTCTTATAGAGGACACTGTTTAGTACAGTAAACAATAGTCTAAAACGACTTCCTTACAGTAAATAGTGCAATGAGGCGTTTCATAGAGCTGTTTAAAAAAATAATATCCCCGGATGTTTCGTTAATTGATCAGAGTAGTTCTCTGATGGAACAAGATGAAGGTGATTGAGTGGGTCTGCAGCTCCCTGAATGTAATGAGTTAATCTAATGATAGATTATGTCATACCTGGGGCTGCATGTCTCTTGGACAATCCTCCATAAATAGAATTTCTCTTATCAAGTTTTGAATAATATTAAGTTCCGGCAAATGGAGCTTATTTTCCTTGTCAAGAACCTACAGTGCAAGTGTTTGTGTGATTAGTTAGGGGCTGAGCCATGGGCTCTAACATGGTGGATCCCAAAGGAGTGGGGTTGGCCCTGAGGGTTTCCATTGGTTTGTGGTAAAATGAGAACCAAGGATGTTATAACGAGTTTTTAAAAAAGCTGATTTCTTCTTTCAATTAAAGAACCTACTCTTTGTTTTGAGATGATTTCCCTCTTATCGTGTATTAAAATAAACATTCTTTTTTGAAATGATTGTATAATAATAGACAGGTAGGTTGTTTTAGTTTTCCTACTCAGTAGACTAATGTTTTAGAAAAATTTTGTCCATAGACTCCAAAAAATCCAAGAAATGGTGCTTTTGTGCTCATCTGAGAAGGGCGTGGGCTCAGCATTCTCTTGCAGAAGTTGCACAGCCTGTAAGGATGAGATGCCTGCCTCCTCACCCAGGAAGAATTAGGGCTATCCGTGGGCAGAAATGGTTAATAATACTAAGTGGGTCAGTGCATTATTTTAGCTTTGTGGTTTTTCTTTAATATATTCTGTTTTTGTGGCTGTGCAGGAATTGAAAAAGGATGTGGTTTGGGGGAACCTCCAGGTCTCCTTTGAAAAGGCTGGCTTTATTCTATTATTTATCAGTTGATGAATCCCCTGGTTTGATTTTTGCATGTGCCCACTACATTAGGAACCAGAATTGGGGGTGGAGATGAGGAGCAGTCCAAAGAAAGGCAACTCAGAAAGATAGTGAGTGTGGAGTTTGAAAAGAGCTTCTTAGTTTAATCTGTAGCCCAAGCCGTGTTATGTGGGCACACAATATACGTATACAGGGACTGCATATGCATATTTAACAGAGGAGCTCAAAGAATGAGGCAGTAACGCATGTCTTTTCCCTACAGCTACTGCATATAAAAAGCAACAAATATCTGACTGTCAACAAGAGATTACCCGCTTTGCTGGAGAAAAATGCCATGCGCGTGTCCTTGGATGCTGCAGGAAATGAGGGGTCATGGTTTTATATTCATCCCTTCTGGAAACTCAGAAGCGAGGGGGACAATGTATGTAAATACAAATTTAAGAGAAAAACAGTGTGTTCTAAAGACAATACTTCTTAATAAGCGGGAGAATCAAGAAAGTAGGAAGGAAGGAAATAGAGTTTTCAGTCTTCAACATATTATTTTTATGTTAATATCTTTAATAGGTTAAAAGCATTTATTTATGGTACAAATTGTGTTCAGGAATCGTAAAATGACAAAGTTCGGCTAATTTAAAAATCATCTTCCAGCTAGAATTTGTGTCAAAAAACTCAAGTAACCTTAGTTTTGGCTGAGCCTGAGGAGAGAGAGGCCGAGTTTGCGTCTCTGCTTAATCAGGAGGGAGCAAGGCTGTAAGGAGCAAGAACTGTGTTTAAAACGTGGTGTCTTCCCCTTTGAATTAACAGAGTAACACAGTGGATCATGACAATTTCATTTACTGGCTCTATGGTCAGCTGTTTACATCTACAGTTTATACCTCTTAAATAGATGTGTAATGTATGGGGAGCTGTAGATTGGCACCTTCTCACTGATAACTAGATTTAACATATGTTGTGGAATATGTGCCTATTGTATCACGTAAATTTTAGTAATTGCTAAAATATTTTCTGCTACTTTATAGAGTGGGGGAAATAAAAATTATGTGAAATGATTCAATAGGATCAATAGTTAGATATTTTTGTGTGTAATAAATAAAGTATCAGGGGACAGTCCCTAGCACGTAGGAGGTGCCCAGCAAATGCTGGACAACTTTCCTAAATAGAATACCTTACAAATATTGGATCACGTGATCAAGAAGAATAGTCGAAGTTTTAAAAAAATGAACATTATACATTCAGAGCAATATAAAAATATAATTCTCATCAAGTTTTGTCAATACATTGATTACATTTTAAATGGTGTAGATGTTTCATGTCTTAGAAATGCCTTCTTTTATAGTGAATCTATTTTTCCAGTGAATTTTGAAGTACAAAGTCAATTCAACAGGATGCAAGCTTCATGGTTTAATTTGGTTAATATATTACCTGGTGATATCCTCTGTAGGTAAGGTTTGGGAGAAGCATGGCATGCAGGAATGGAATGCACTGTGAGCCTTGTGTTTATTTCCCTAGGATATAAATCCCACTTTTTTTCTTTTGGCATCAAGGGATGTGTGCTGTGAGCATGATGTATATTTAAATTTCAGTGGGTAGTTAATTACAATCAACTCTCAGCTATTCAGGGACTGATTATGTTGACGAACAACCTATGTCTTTTGAGGCCCTGTCTCATAATGCTGATTGCCCTCTCCAGTCCCCCACTGAGTGGTGTCCCTGTCTGTAGGTGGTCGATGAAAATTAAATGTCAAAACAAAACCTGAGCTCAATCTGTGAAGGAATACAATGAAATGATTGGATAAATTGGGGCCTTTAGATTAGCTATAGGTTTTATTAATGCATTTGATCCTGTTTATTTATTTATCTATTCCTTTCCCTGATCCCAAATGCCTTTACAGAGTCAACAGAGAGTTGAATGTAATGAACTATGTCAAATAATTAGTTGTATTGGGGAAATAAGAACAACCTACCACCCACACACCCCATCTTGGTGAAAATGGACAATGTAATGGTTAAGTGCAATAGAAATCCTCCTTACATAGATGTGCTCCAGAAAGCATGGCTGAAACAACCTTCCACATTGCTTTTTTGTTGAAACGGCTCACTGTTTTTGCTCACCACTGTGTAGCTTTGTATGTGATTAAGGATCTGCGAAACCATAAGCACGTCCACAGCCCTCTATTTGCCACATAAATACTTGTACTGTAATGCTCATTTTCTTCCCTAGAAATAGGCAGCATTTTCTAAAACATAAGCCTACTGTATTTTATTGAAGGCAAATGGAAATACTATCACTTCATAAGAAGTGGATCAATTTTTACTGATTTTTTAAAAAAAGTATATTAAACGAAGAAAAGGAAATTGCAATATTCAAAGGACTTTTAAAGTTATATTTTACTATTTAGCAATTAGTTAAATTGTGATTAGGTTGTGAGTATAGAACATGATGTTTGGTGATTGAAATAAAATGCAAGAATGAGGCTGATGGTCGTCTGGGGAGAAAAATGCTCATATCCTCAAAAAGCAATGGTTTCTATCATTTAAGAGCACCTCTGTGATGTCTTATAGAATTAAGGGATAGTTTTTGGGGGGAAAATAGATTCATGGAATCCTCAACTTTCTGCTGTGTAAAAGCCCTTGTTTGCTGTTGAGCAGTTAGAAAGTCAATGGTGACAGCCTTGAGCAGAGAACATAAATGTTTCATTTTCATTTATCTTCCCGTGATTGAGTCGTTAATTTTTCATTTTCAATTGTGATCTAAGAAGACATTAGTTCTTTAGCATGACAGTAGATTTAAAAGGGAGAAAAGACCAGATTTCATTTAATTAAGAGTAAAATTCACATTTTAGGGCAAGAACCTCTTCAAATAGCAAGTCGATTTTGCTGTTGGGCAAAACTGGATGCCGTGGATTTCTAGCACAGACAGAACTAAATTCTGGTGTTTTTGGCGTCTACTATAATGTTATTTTCACCATACCAGGTGCCACTTCAAAAGAAGGGTAGTTGCTCAGGCATTTTCAGTAAAAGCCCCACTTGACTCTCACATGGCTGTTACGTAGAATCAACAGATGTGCTTTTGGAATGGCATTTTTTTGTTTTAAAGATATTTGTGAACTAGAGTGAATGTGATGTTGCAGAAAATGTCTTTATGCTCAAATTCTGTATTTAACCTACAGCTTCTCAGAGGCACCTGACCCCGTCAGTGAGTCAGCCCCTATGCTGCTCTCTCCTGAGAATTTCACCAAATTCCATATTTACCAAGTTATCCGATTAGGTGTGAATTCTTTGAGCATAGGGACTTACACACTTATTTCTTACATGCTTTTGTGTTCTTTCTGGTGCCTCTTTTCTTACTGTTTTTATTTTTATTTTTTTGATTGGCATCTTGTCCATTTTATTTTCAAGTTTTATCCATCTTGGTTAGCCAAAGTAATCATCAAGAACATGATCAAGGACCAGGAGATTAGTGAATTAATGTTAGATTCTCCTTGTGAATACTGTTCTTATGAATCCTTGGCTTTTGGAACATTTTGGCTCTATGGCTGTTATCTGAAAATTTACTTTTACTGGTGGTGTTTTGAAGTACATGTAACATGGATTGGCTCAAAGCTTACAGACACCTAAATAAAATAGTAAGACTTCGAGCAGTAAAAATACATGCAATCAAAGTATTCTTTTAGTCGGAAGGGCATAGCTAAAATATATCATTACATTTAGCAAGTTATTGGCTAATATGCACTTCTGTGGAGATAAGATTGACATAGTAAACCAAACCCAATTGTTTATTAACAAGTTGGAAGACCAGATGTAGCACTGATAGGATGGAATATCAAGTCCCAGTATTTATAGTATGAATGACTTCTTAGACTTCAACGTGGCTCTGAGACTTAGAGCTGCCTTGGTGTCATGTGCAATAACAAGCTTTTTCTTTTTCTTTTCTTTTTTTTTTTGAGGATGTTGGAAATATGTTTAAAAAAGTCGTGTTAACTTTTATGTTTATGTTTTTGTTTATACTTAATTTTTAAAAACACCAATTGATGGTTTAAAGATAGAAAACAATATAAAGAAATACCATGAAAAGTCATTTCTTCTATCCTTTTTTCCCTCTCCCCAGTTCCCACCCCTTCTTTCAGTTAACCACTGGAAGGTTCTGATGCATATACTTTTATTACCTTCCTCCCTTTTTTTACACAAAAATAGCCAACTCTGCCCCCTCATCCTCTCACTTAACACTGTTTCTTGATGATCTTTTCCTTACTGTACATAGAAAGCTTCTATGATGGGTCTTTTTGTGAGTCACATCATCTGACGGATGATGAGCTTGAAAGGTAGGGTGATTAATAGAGACCAGTCATATAAACAATAGAAGCTATTTGTGCAAATCAAAGAACAACCTTCCTTTGCTTGATTAGTGAGCTTCAGGCTTCTCTATCATATTTGAATCTCCATATATGGTTTGTGAGAACAATACCATATGTGAATGTAAACTCCTGTAATATAATCTATAAAAGATTAATTTTATATTGAAAATGTGAAATTATGTTCCGTATTGTGTTGGTCTAGGTTAAGATACAGAGAGAAGTTTTGTTTAGTCTTATTGTCTAAGTCCTAATTTGTTTTTCAGTTATCTGTCAAACTAACCTATTCTAATATTCAGTTGGTATGAAATATGCAAAGGGAAGGTATTGGTTTTCATTTCTGAGGTGGTTAGCAATTCTACAAATGAGAGTGTAGGTGCTACAGTAATAAGTCCTTAATGGAACTTAACAACAAAAGTAACTTTAATATCTATAAAATTAAACTGTTCATTGTTATCATTAAGGAAGCATAACTTCATTTCCCCACAGTTTGGGTTATGGATAAAAAGCAGGTATTGTTAATGTTAGCATAAATAAAAAAGCAACCTAGACTTCTCTAGAGAATTTTTCCCATAATCAATTTTAATTTTTATTTAAAAATGAACACCTGGTTTTAGGAGCAATGTTAGTTTGGGATGTTTGAGATAAAAGTTAACCAGATGCCCAACGCCCAAACAATAAATGTATTTCTACAAGGTTGTGCCTAATTCTCCATTTCCTGAATCCAGATGACATTATAATGTTTAATAAATTCCTGAAATTATAGGTGAGATCAAATTTATCAGATTTTTTTTTTATTCCAGAGATAATACAAATGTATAGCAGTTTCTGTTTGCACTTGAGATGGTTCTAATATTTAGCCAGATTGTTTTTTTGTGGCAGATGTATTTTCTTCCTATATGTGCTGTGCTCATAGCATAAGACTGCCTGTGGAGGTGTTTATAGACATTGAAAAAACTCTAACTTAAATGGGGACTGCTCAGAAAAGGAGCTACACTAGCTTCGTGAACCCATATTGATAGGCATTTTGGGACATGATTATATGACCATTTATCAGAAGATTTTTTACTTCCAAGAGAAAAAGAATTGAACTAAAATTTGTATGGAGGACAAACAGGCCAGGTGTTAGGTCAAGAATGAGGACTTCGCAGTTATTTTTAGCTTAAAATATAGCACCAAAGATCCATGCCATTTCTCAGTTGCAACTTATTTCTGATTCCTAGATTGTTGTAGGAGATAAAGTTGTTCTGATGCCCGTGAATGCAGGACAGCCACTACATGCCAGCAACATAGAGCTTCTCGATAATCCAGGGTGTAAAGAGGTAAGTTGAAGAGGAAAGGAAGTTAATGTGTTGATTCTTTTATGAGAGAAATAAATAATGTAT